AGTTTTCAAATTGTTATAAAGATGATGGATCCCGTCTTACCCCCTTAGGGGTGGAGTTTCGTAACATCCTTTCTTAGCGGATACCTACGTCATAACATCTACCTGCATGCCAAATTTCAGCCCGATCCGTCTAGTGGTTCGGACTGTGCGTTGATAGATCACTATGTCAGTCAGTCAGTCACCTTTGAGTTATATGTATATTTAGATATCTACTTTGAAATAAAAAACTACTTTGTGTTTCCGTTACCTATTATAACATGCCATTTATCATTTTTCTTGGAAACGAAAAAAATTATCCTTAATTTTTGATCTTGAAGCCATATCGCGGCTCAGTTTGGGGAAATTAGAGAAATTAATTATTATGGAGTAAGAGGAGTTGTTAAGCAGCCGTTACTGACTTTGTTCCAACAAGAACGTCTCAATTTCGTCAGTTGGTGCCTCAAGTTACTTGATATGCAATTAATAAATTAATCTCATGAGGGTGTAGGAAGACATTTGATTGCATTGAACAATAATTGAAACGGAATACAGTTAAATAATCAGAAATGTGTTGTTCATTTGATTTGTTTGTATCAAATCGTGAATATGATAACATTAGTCTAAAACATGACACTATGGTTGGATGCTAAAAGGTAAGAACGTGACGTAAGAGAAAAATAATTATACTAAGCAATTCGATAACTCTTTTATAATGCGAACAGCTAGGGACTGGAAATCGTTGCCTGCTGCTGTCTTTCCCACTGCTGTGAATAAGCGCTTACAGGGCAGATATTATGTACCATCCTAGACAGCACCACACATATCATTTTCAGGTGCGATTGCGGTCAAATACCTGCCTTGTTCTGCATTAAAAATAATACTTTGTCACTTGATTTTTTATTTACAGGACTGTTTTAGTTGTCATGAATAAGGCAGTTAAAATAGCTTCGTCTTTCTGTACTTTCTTAGATAATCCGATTTGAAAGGTCAAGTCATAAACGCGACTGAAATCGACATTACTTATGGACTCCTACGGCTGACTATTCCCGCTCAGTGCGCCGCTTCTGACGGTGATAGAGTTTCCGCGCCACCGAGCAAAAGACACCTCTCTGCCGATCTGGGAGCCTGGTACTTGGTTTTAATGTCTTTGATAATATTAATCGAAAATATGAGTCGTTAGATACTGGAAAGTTCAAGATAATTTAGATAATAAACATTTTGCCTCATGTTGATGTAAAGATACAAAAATGTTTTGGAAAAGTAAAAATGACTTCGTCTTTCAGGCAATCCGATTTGAAAGGTCAAGTCACAAACGCGGCTCAAATAGACATTACTTATGAACTTACGGCTGACTATTCCCGCTCAGTGCGCCGCTTCTGACGGTGATAGAGTTTCCGCGCCACCGAGCAAAAGACACCCCTCTGCCGAGCTGGGCGCCTGGTAGTTTCAATGTAGATGTGAATGACTCGAATTGTTGTGTTCATATTCATGTGCTGTTTACAACTGTTGCTTGCACACCTTTCTAATAAAGGTTAGTCAAATCGATGAAATATATTTTTATATGCTTATTACAAAAATATACAATACGATAGGTACGATAAATAACTTATTGAAATGTATGTTGATAGCCAGCAGGAACTGGCTTTTATGTAGATAAGTCCTTCTATAGCTTCTATCGCGACATACCTGCGAGGCACACAAACATTTTAGGTATTTTATATCAATGACGAAATAAAATCTAATTAAAAAGTATCATAACGACGGCATTGCCGAATTTGTCCGAAACTTTTAATTTTCCCGAATGCCATGACACCCGCCATGTTCTTCGTGAAAATTGCCGAAAAATCTTGTCATTTCTGTACGAGGCACGGAGCTCGCGAAATTTTTTGTTATTAAATAATAATGAAAAGTCGCAAGACGTCAGAACGAGCCGAAATTATTATACGGACGGCTGTTTTTAAGGAATGGCGAAGGGAGAGACTATTTTGTTGATGTCAAAAATTTTATGCAATATTCAAATATCAATTTGTATTTTTGGCGTCTGACAAGCACATTGATAAATAACATCCTTTAGACACGCGAATGATTTTATAGCGTGATTTAAATCATCGTAATAATGAGAACGCATCAATTTAATCACTGAGATAAGAAAACTGTATAGTTAGACACACAATGTGTGCTGCACAATCATTCTGTTCATTGTTTAATCAGATTTACACCCGGTATTCCCAAACGTTGCTATGAGGTCTCACACTGCGCGTGGACGCATAGGGTGACACATGAACCAATCACAGAGCTCTATTCAACGCTGTGCGTTCGATTTGCAGCTACACTTAAGCATGTATCGTTTGTGAATACGGGCGTTAGGACTTAGATCGAATTCATTAAGTAAAAGAATAATATAAATGCGATGCAAATCCAGTTTCGTTTTGTCGCAAGTAACATGATTTCACTATTTACATAAAATATTTTTATTTTAATAGACAAAATAAATACTCGCAGGAGTAACGTTTTGACCTTTTTCTCGTAGTAATGTTTATTTATTCTTACCAAACCAAGCACTCGTGTATTTCATTTAACCTTCATTTGATAAATGGATCACTTTCTTATGAAACAAATTAAGATCTCATTTTCTTATGAAACATAAAACCTATTCAGTTCAAGGAGTTTGCATCGACTTTGCAGTTGAAACCTATTCAGTACAAGGAGTTTGCATCTTGTCCCAGCGTTCATGCGCAAGAGTGAACTTGGTATGACTTGTACGAACTAGAAATGTATGTAAACAGAATCAGCGGTTGTATGCTAGTTTAATGGCGTCCAATTGGCCGTCTGCCAAGGAAGACATTCGTATCGAAAATCAGACGAAAATTGCCAAAAGTAAGGCCGTTTGTACGAGTACAGTCCGCACAGAAGAATCTGGCACTTTTTGAAACAAAGTTAACCTTTAACCGACGACGTGCAGTCTCACAGACCGCTCCGGTTTTCGAAATTTCTGGATTGCTATGTTCTGCTTACTCCCGTGTCCCGAGCGTCTCAGTACCTTCGAGTTTAGTTGCCCAAACGCCATTACAGGTAGTGGTTACATCGACGAGGGCAGTTTTAATAAGATAATTCAATTTAAAGTTCAACAGCGGTCTGTGGGACCGCACGTCGCAGACTACGTGACATTTTTGTACCATACTGAAACTTGCGTTTTTGTTTTAGACGACTCATTTTTTGTAAAAATGGTGGATCCTGGGCCACCACAACCTAGGAAAAGACATTTTCTAATGATATTGATATTTGAACATAAAAGATGGTAGTCTGTAAAAAAATACCGCAAAACGGGTAGTAAAGCAAACAGTGACATGTATTCTAGGCTCTGACATGCTAAATCAGCCTGATGTCATTGCACCAGCTGCAAAAAAGACGTACATTTTTGTCCACCTAAATTGAAAACGAAATCCCACTAAAAACATTCTGTAAAAAACTANTTTCTCAATTAACTATTTAGACGATGAAATTGGCTAACTATTTATGCCTATAACATATTTGTAGTATTACTGGTTAATGATTGTAACGAGTTGAAAAAGTACTGTTTTTGCGCCAAACGGCGTAAACGCTCTTAAGATTTTTGGTTCCATTGTAATTGAAAAAAGTAGTTTGAGTTGACAAAATAGTGACGTCAGTGACTTGTATTGCCATACAAAATGTATGGATGGCAGTTTCGTTTTGACAGTTTTAATAAGTACGTATAGCCTGACCAGGAACATAAAAACCCTGGCATAGAGGCGCGTCAATTGCATTTGATAGTGCAACACTGAGTACAGTCGTACCTGTGCTGTGTTAAATTAATAGGCTAACTTTATGTATCAGGATTCAGGATTACGGGCTAATTTGATATTTTCATAAATTAACGAAAAAATATTATTATAGGTAGCCTGGTTTAAATGAAACCATCAATCGAGCTAATAGGATTTATTTTATTATTCATCAATAATCAAATTCAGAACTTGAATATTCAACTGCAATGTTTGCTCATGAACGCTTCAAACTCGGTACTTCTTTCCCAATTCCATAAAATTCAACACCTAGAAAGTGTCAATTTTTTTTTAAATAGGTAGTTGAAACAAACCACAGCGAATTTTCATAGTGGACTGTACTATGCGATAAACATGTCAGTCCATTTGACAACCTTTGTTGGAAACATTATTCAATGAAAATATTGTCCGAACCCTTAGTATTTCTCTTCGACAAATACTTTAACACATTGTGAACCACTTTTCTTTCACGACTATATAAAGATTTTAGCAATTTAATTCACAAAATCAATTGCGCACATTTAAAATAAAGTTTGTTTACACTTTGACAGCAATAGACTGACATGCAAGGTGACATGTCAATGAAGTTTTCAGTTACTGTTGCCATTAAAAGAAATTAGTACCATTAGTTTTTCGCAACATGGCGAGGGTTTTTATGTTCCTGGTCAGGCTATACTTATTAAAATTGATTGGTGGTGTCAAAACGTCTCTTTTGGAGTAAAATAAAACTGGTAAACTACGATTAGAAAAAAGAAAAATCAAGTAAGCCCTCAGTTGTGTGTAGAGTGAATTTACTACCATTAGATTTTCCAACGGTCTTCGGCGATAAAACTAGCAACCCTCTTTAGAACTTTAAACACCTCCTATGTTCTTCTGATTAGTTTCGTTGCGGGTTCAATGACAGTTTAACTTTCCCCCGGAACAAACTAAACCTTCACTAGTTGGGTTGTTATTGGCGGTCAAGCTGTAGATCCTGGCTACACTGGAGTAGCAGCGGTGGGAACAAGTGGTGGGAATAGTCCTGTATTAGCAACCCGCGAATCGGCAGTTGTAATTCGACGCCATTGGGCTGATGATGAAATTATTGGGATAAGATTTGAGGTTACATGAGTAGTATGCAGAACTGAGCTTGACGTTAGGATCCGTAAACCATAGTACTCATACTATTTACCTAATAGTTTTAGACACATTATCATTTAGATTGTGGTTTAATCGGATCGGTTAATCGGATACTGCAAGTCCATCTGTCTACAAGTGAAAAAAGAAAACGGAAAAACCATATGGTAAAAAAGCTCACCAGAAAGATAAGCGATGGCACCGGCGTCATAGACTTCATGTTGATATGCGCCAGAAGCTCTGGCATGTGTCCGTTCCGAGCGCCCGCGAAGCACATGCGCGATGACGTCATGATGTGCACCGTCAGCCCGCCCATGGTCGCCATGGAAACCAGCACTGGCATCACCCACCGCATGAAGCCGAGGATCGCGATCGCAAAGTCCTGGGAGATGGAGATATGGAATTTTAATTATAAGGTGTTATGACACAAATATTAGGCCCGGTTTCCACCAAAGCGGAGCGGAGCGGAGAAGTGTCTGGCCGTCAAATCCTACTAATATTATAAATTCGAAAGTTTGTATGGATGTCTGGATGTTTGTTACTCTTTCACGCCAAAACTACTCAACGGATTTTGATGAAACTTTACAGTATTATTGTTTATAACCCGGAATAACATATAGGCTATTAATTTATGGCAATCTATGACAAACTAAATTTCAAAAGCTAGTTATTCTATAATGGTCATCACAAAAATCAGCCCACCTACGTTTTACAGGAAAACTCGTTTCTACTGACACAATCATGGTGCCCCAACAATATTGGTGTTATTTGAAAGCCCAATAAATATCCTTAAAGAAAAACACATTTAATTTCTTAATAAACGATTAACATAAACGCGATATACAATAAATGTGAGTTGAAAAAATACCTCACTTTGGGCTCACCTCTGGGATCAATTAGACCAATTTTTATGATTATAAAACCAAATAATGATCTCACGTGTCCTCTTTAACAGATGGATAGCGATTAATCCCAATTTAACATTTTTATAGCCATAAAAGTTGGCTCAAGCGTAACTACCTATTTTTTGAAGAAGTGACTCTGGATTCTTCTACAGACACATTTTTGGGGTAAAAACCTTTCCTTTAATGAAATGAAGTTTAGAACTAGGCTTCTAAATGGTGCCCATATTGGTGGGAAGTGGGGATGCATACGTTTGAAAGTGCTTGTCGTGGGAGGGTCGATTTTTGTGATGACCAGTGTATTATAGAACTTGACAGCTGAGACGAGAAGTGGAAATAATGAAATCTGATTGGTTATTCAAAACACTTCTACGCTCCGCTCCGCTCTGCTCCGTCTTGGTGGAAACTGGGCCTTGCAGAGGGGAATTTTCAACGTTAAAACTTCTATTCTGTTATTGAGCCTTAAAATAAAGTGCAATTCGCTAATGCTAGATATTTATCTAGCGAATGATGATACTGCTTTTGCCAAGAACTCGCCAAGCCATTTAAAATATCTTCGCTATAGCAAATCAGAACACCACTATTGCATTCTTCATTGATTGCTTGATCAGATTCAATTCTCTCTCTCATTCATTTGTCTCCATACACAACCTTTAAGGAAGTCTCGAGACTAATTTTATTGTGATCTGCATCGAACAAATTCGTGGAATTTAAGTCATGAAGGATATATTATATTTTGGAAATTGGACATTCTGAACCTAAATGAATCTATCTATACTATAGCAACGAAGTATGTTGTGATTGTGTGTGGTTATAGGTTTTTTTCTGACATGGTCCAAGCACATGTGTAGGGATTGCAATTGTAGTTTTTTACACAAATATTAATGTACTTTCCATTTGATTTTAAACATAGTTTCAAAGATGCGGGATTGCAATCCCTACACACGGGCTTAGACACGGGTTTCTCTATATTTGAACACCCTATAGCACCTTATTTCCATGCAAAAGATTCAACCTCTACAAGATAATACTTCAGTTCCATCAGGCTCATACATACCACAGCGATGGCTTCGGTGGCCCTCACTCCGTTAGGCCCAAGCACAGCCAGGTAGGACACGTTAGCTAGCAGGTAGATACTGGTCACCAGAGGCAGAGACACGTAGATGGCTCGGGGCAGGTTCTTGTACGGGTCTCTCAGCTCTTCCGTCATGAAGTTCAAGTAGTTCCTGGGAAATTGTATAGAGATAACTTCTTCTGGTTTATAATAATAATAAATTCTTTATTGACATAAAATGTTACACCAAAACATACTGCTAGGCATGGAACATTTCATGAATAGCAGGTGAAAAATCATATGAAACGAATTTCATTAAATCACACCTGCTATTTTACTTCACATAGACTGCTATAATTTCACAGTTAACGAAATCACGAATCACATGAATTTCATTCATTCATTCGAGCGAAGTTCGTGAGCGCAGCTCTGCGAAGCGACCGAGCGAGTAAGTGTGATGANATAGCTTACTAGATGACGAAAATTTCTGCGTTCTGGTCTTATCTAGAGGTTCTCAAATAGGGGCCTGAAAATGCGGCGAAATGGTTCCAGTAAAGGATGGTACGGCAGTGTTTGCTTCGCGCTCGACTTGGCGGGGGCACTGCCGTGCCCCCAGATTTTCTTACAGGTGTTACCTATGCATACCGAAAATGCTTGGCATGCGGTAAAAAAAAAATCCTGATTGTGCCTAATGTTTACCCTACTTCAAATATTTTTTGTGCATGAAATGTACGTGTCATTTATTTTTATTTTGTTCATTATGTTCACTATATTTAGGAAAGAGTATAGTTTTTCTTGCTTTGATTAAACTTTTCAAGTTATATAGGTATTATTGAGCTCTAGTGTAATTTCAATGAAATTAAAGGTCAAAAAGTTTTAGCCATATTTAAATAAAAAATATACATTGATTCCTCGCAAATTATACGTATGTTTATTTGTAATACTATAATGTTCTCAAAAAATATAAAACCAAAGTACTTTTATACAAAAAAATATTACTTTTTGAGTAAACAGTATAGCGGTCCCACAGACCGCACGTCGCAGACGGCGTAACAAAAAAATCACGTCGTCGGTTAAAGGTTAAATAACATCGAAGCCTGAAATATGTTTTAGTTTTTAAATAAAGCAATAATTATTTGATTGCAAAAAGAATTACTAAGGATGCTGGGACATTTTTAAGCCCTGACCTGTAGCAGTGAACTGCTGATGGGTCGCTTCCAATATTATGCGCCATTTTAGACTGTATTTAGTTTATTAATCAACTTTTCTTAGCAAACTTTCACCAGTCATCACTTTACCCAGCTGGATGGTATCTTATACTACACGCTTAAAGGTACGCAGATGGTTATTATAATGTCGGCATCATCTAAGAAAAGACTTTTTTAAAATTCGTCCCCTAAGGATATGAATCGTTGGCCCAAATTTTAATGCGAGCGAAGCCGCGGGCTAAAGCTAGTTATTTATAAAACTGACGGAGTCTATTGGCACAGACTGTACATAAAACTACGAGAGTCGATACCGGTTGAAGGCTTTTGGCAATAGACCACCGATGTCAGCAATGTGACTGCTGACATTGCGTGTGCAGTCAACTGAATGTGGCTCTTGAATTGCAACGAAAACATTAGCTAGATTGGTTGCAGTTATGTCAGGATAGATACAGATTGGAATTTAGTAATGCTAATTTTGGAAAGAAGTATGCACATACATACTCTTAATATTTATTTATTTATTTATTTGTAATAGGTATACAAACAGTTTACAGTCTAGGCTTCATCGTAAAGAAAAAGTGTTAATTACCTACATACTGGAACGTAAGCCAAAATACTGTGTATAGAAAATTTTACACAAATAAAACATTCGTAAAATTATGAAAAGAAAGAAAAATGCATTCCAAAATTTCCGAAAATTCACTTGCCACACCCGGGAATCGAATTTACTAAAATCTGTTAAAAATTGCATTATGTTTAACATAATATTGGCTTAGCGATCTACTATCTTACCAATATTATTATTATTTATTTGCTATTTAAATAGCGACAAAAGTAATATAAGTATGTTTTATAATATTTACTTTCTATAGAGATCTACGCCCGTATTCACAAACGATGCTTGCTTAAGTGAAGCGAACGCACAGTGTTGAATAGAGCTTTGCGATTGGTTCGTCCACGCGCACTGTGAGACCTCATAGCTAATGTTTGTGAATACGGGCTCTAGTTACTTTGGTAAAGTAAACAAATATGATGCTCGTAGTAGAGCTACCTCTAAGGCAGATATTAAAGTTGGAGTGGTTAAGACGCGTGCGATATTTGAATTTGATTTGGTTCAAGTCTAGTAACTTGAGGTTCTAACTTATTTGAATACTAACTGACATCCGTAACTTTGTACGAGGTAATCGCTTACAGAATTCACATACATAGGTATTTAGTTAACTAAGATCCCTCATTGAGATACGAGTTCATACAGTAGAGAGATCAAGCTATTGAAGTATATGTAGTTTCAATTTATCGAGTTATAATGTTACCTGCTATGGATCAATGAAACAAAAATATTTTTTGTAAATACTTAGGTACCATATTATATTACATAATGCGTAAGTAATTTATACCCGCGGACATGGTTTCAGAGGATTGGTATTTGGTAATAATAACTACAACTTGGTCAAAATTGACTGAAATACATTTTTATTTATAAGTAGGGAGATCGAGGTGAGTTTCAACAGAGGAGAGTTGTGACATTGTCGATTTTTAGAAACCTATTAATTACTAGCGAGCTCGTAACAGTGCGCGCTTTTTATTTCAAGTCTCTAGCTAACAAATGCGCGCTCTTGCGAGCTCGCTAGTAATTAATAAAACTGTTTCCAAAAAATCGACAATATCATAATTCTCATCGGTCCCCTACTACTGTCATCATTTCAATGTAAGACAAAATTCACAACAATGAAGTTAATTAGTGCTCGCAGTTCATTACCTAAGTTCAGAAACGCATGTACTGAACTTCACCTACGAGTTAGGCGAGTTAGACGCTTGATTAGGTCTTGATTAACTGTTGTTTTAGTGCTACTAAACGGTGTTACTCGCTAAAAGCGTTAACTGAGTAATAAAGTTCGTTTGCAATGTCTGGAGTCTAGATGTTTTGTGTTAGGGCTGTGTTGCAGTGGATTAACGAGCGAGTTCCAAGCGAGGCGAAATTGTGACAGACTCATCGGTTCTTAGCAATAAGTTTTATTGTTTAAAACTTCTATTTTTGAACACAAGAGCGAGCAGCAGGTCGCCCATGCGCTGGACTGACCAGGTTAAAACCGCACTCAATGGTCCACTCCACGAGTGCACAAGAAAGGCTGCAGTGCGGGAGGAATGGCGACGGATTGTGAGGCTTGCCACCGGGCCGGGTGTGACGACCACGACCACTCTGGCAAGAGTGTAGTAACGAAGAAGAAGAAGAACTACCCCATGATGCAATCGGAGATTTGCAGTGTGACATTGCAATGTAACATGTGCGCTTTGGCGCACACTCTAGAGTGCGCTTTAAGAGGGCATGAAAGTTTCATACAAATAATACAATTTTAACAATCATAAAATGTATGCTTTTTCAATTATGATGGATCGTTTATGGCGTAATTATAGACGAGTTTTAGTTAAACTATAAAAAGAACATGACAGAAACAATCATAAATAGCCGTAAAATGTGTAGGTATGTTGGTGTTCATGCAATATTCGATTCATGGAGGAAATAACCAACAGAACTGGTAAGATTTAAACTGACAGAGGAATGTATCTCCGCTCCAATATTGTTTCCAATCCGTGAAAGTGCCACATCGGGACTGGTTGTAACGGCCCCAGAATCCAGATATTGCTTTAGGTATCGCCTATCCCAAGCACTAACTGAATTTATATTTTTTCTATATCTTAATGTTTTTCACATTTATATTCACTAATTGTTTGCCATTATTCTTTTAAAAATAAAACATATTTCATGGTAATGTATAAACTGGGAATAATATTCCCACAAAAATTGCGCTCCATCGGCTCCTAAACAACATAAACACCAGACACAAGGCGTAACAAATGAAATGAACAATAAAAGCAGTTCGAAGACGCCCTCCTTTTCGTATGTTAATGCCAAGTGACCTATTTTTGTTGGTAAGCCTTGACCCGTCTAGGTATATTTACTTTGAAATTAGTTTATGGTTAATTATAATAAATTACATAATCATCTTCATCATCATCTCAGCCATAGGACGTCCACTGCTGAACATAGGCCGCCCCCAATGCTTTCCATGTTGCCCGGTTGGTAGCGTCCTGCGTCCAGCGCTCAGATCCCTTCTATGATCTGAGGTCCAGCGCCTTCCTGCTACCTTTATGATGTCGTCGGTACGCGGTAATTCACATAGTCTTAAATTGATGGAAAACATGTAAAAACACACTAAACTATCGGGGGAGTAACGTAGTAAAGTCTTAGGCTGAGTTGTACCACCTAACTTTAACAATAACTATAACGATAACCGGTGTTTTTTGTATGGAGTTTGACAGATTTTTGAGGTTGTCAAAGTTAAAGTAAGATGGTGCAATCCAGCCTTAGTAGTTAGCGAGAGGTTGAGGGTTTGAAATGAATTCCACCTGAGTCAGCTAAGTAGCTTTTCATGTTCTAGAATTAAGGTATAAAATAAAGTCTCGTTTTAGGAAAGCAATTTACATTTTTACAATCTAAAAAACAACAGTTGGATACCGTCATATTTTAGAAAATCCTGTATAATCAAGTCATGCATTCAAAATCAAAAACCTACAAATGCTCAACGGATTTTTGTATAATAGGTTCCCAATTCATGACTATGCATGAAAAATTCGTGCCAGTGATTGTCAAACTTCCACTAAAATATTCATGGGACAGACCTGGAATCGGAACTAGCTAGCGTTTCAGCTACCTGAACTGATTTCTATTTGTTTTAGTGATGGGGCAGATATTACATGGGGATATAATACAGATTTAGCATTATACTGATTTATAGTAATTTAAAATTTGTTACAAAAAATGTAACATTTTTTTGTAACAAAAGAAAATTAACGCAATGTACTCGTATTAAGTACACAATAATTGTAAATAAGTGTCGTGCATTAGCAATGCGCTTGTAGTTTTAGCAATTTTAGAAATGCTTTCTTTAATTACAGCTTGGAC